ACACTACAGGATTTCTCAAACATGCATGAATGAGTCAAAGCAAGACTCTGGGCATGTTTTTGATAAGATAACATTATAACATGATATAAAACTTTAAAAAGATTTTACATGATAACACCTCTTTAAGATAAAAGACTGGACTTGAACTCACCATGTTGACCTCAGAGATGCTGTCGATGCTCTCCACCTGCACGTCGATGCCCACAGGGATGGCTGCATCTGGAGGAAAGACATCAATCAATGACAGAAAGCTCCCAGTAAGAGTTATGATAGTTTGATTGACATTATATGTAAGAAGCACAGTGGTTTTGGGAGAGGTGACACACAGGTTAGAGAAGGTATGTCTATAATTGTAGGATGCCGGTTCAAATCCCCTGACCGTTTTATCAAAAATGTGGGTGGGGAAGGTGAGGCACTTGCTTCCAACCTCATTTTGCCCCACTGTAGGTCATTGAGCAAGGCCCTTAACCCCCAGCTGCTCCCACAGGTGCCCAAGATGGCAGCTCCCCATTTGGTGGTCAATGGTTACATCAGAAAGTTATCCAGTGGGGAAAAAAATAGATTTCAAATTGTTAAAAAATTAGCTTGCTGTGAAAACCCCTGATGAAGGGAGCAGATGAAAGAAAATACAAAATAGAAAAACAACATAAGATAAGCACAGTGGAATTAAATAAATATTTTAGATTTTAAAAAACCTTTGAACAAAAATGATTCCCAATCATCAGCTTTGAACACAACAAAGTTTTCAGATCGCTTGTTATCTGAAAATTGGCTAAATTATAACCATTTTGTATTGAATAGCTGCGGCAGCCATYTTGAAYCTGGCTAACTCAGTGATTRCTCTCTGAGGGTTTTATTAAAAGCTGTTCAGTGGCTAATAAAAGCWGTGGATCGTATGCCTTCATCTTGTTCTATCCCAGCATCCCCATCACACYAACCCCCTGCATATCCTTTGACACATCCATGAACCTTCRTGTTCARCATCCTTTGTTCAGTTTATCCACTGTTCCTCATCTGCACATGTCCAAACCAAAGATTACATAACACAGTTTGTGTTTGATGGAGTATTTCTTTGTTGTAAAACAGATGTAATGGATTTAATTAAAGATATRTCTACTGGTTCCACTCAGCTGAATTGAGTAAAGGTAACACATTTACTTATGTAAACCAATTGACACAATTTTTAAAAGTAAATCCACKTCATTATCAAGCCCCTGATTGGCAGCACAGGGKGAGGGACCAGAAGCTCAAAACAAGTGTCAACAGCTGTTTGGCAGAGACTTGATCCTTACAAATTTGGCATCATTTAAACGGGAATTTAATAATTTCCCCAATGGTATGAGATTTATTGCCAAGAAGCATTGGGCCTCATGCAAGAACCATTTGTACGAACAGATTTGTTCTTAAGTTGTACTTACGAGTCATTTAGGAGAATTTGTGGCATTCACCAATTTTCTCGTATTCTAAGATTTTTTTCAGATACGAACAAAATTCACGAGTGGTCCAGACCTGTCGTATATTTTACAAGTAGTCAGTCTGCGGATTTTCTTACTAATAACTTTATATTTCATTAGTTTGAAGATATTTTGAGTTGAAAATAAGTCACACTCCATAATTATGTTGACAATAGGTTATTATGTTTGAATTAGAATTATAAATTTAAATGTAATAATGTAGACTAACGACATAAATTGGTTACATTAAATTAAATTGGCTAGTAATGCTGTTGTATAGCACTACAAAATTAATATGAAGTTAATTGAAATTTGGAGACATTTCAAAAAGCTATTTTTTTTTCAGAAATGCATCTGACACTTGCGACGGTGGGGAGGGGGGGGTGGCAGCGGTGCACCGTGCGTGACTGCTCTTCTTCTGAATAAATGAAAACTATGTAACACTGTTGTTTACACTTCAATTAAAATGATTTGACCAAAGGAAAACCGGAGCAGGACAGATTAACATGATTTAGATTTTTATTTCTGTGACTGTATACGACCCACAGGAGACACAACATTAACAGCRGTCATCATTTTACTCCTCGGCTTTAGCAGGTCCKTTAATTCCACAGCTGACGCTGCTTAAACKTACAGATTTTCTTTTCTGGATCTCTGAGAGCAGGACTTCAATTTCCAAWCTGGYAAAGTTRTTCTTTTTACTTTGCAACGTCATTTATGAATGGACACTTCCTGGTATGTGGTGCAGGAAACATAGCCTTATGGTATTTTTGGGATGGTAGATTATGTTCATTCCTCCCTGTGCACGAGCACCTGATACGCATTTATCAGTTTACGCTGCTCATTTACACACTTTTCCTGAAGATAGAAGAGTTTGTTGAATCTGACGTGGCATGTTCGTAAGAACCCTTCGTACKAACAAAAGTAAGCAATTTAGGATAAGAATATGAAAATGTTCTTGCATGAGGCCCATTGTTACAGTGAAGAAAAGTACCTACCAAACACAAATTTCCTTRCTTTTTGATGGACCATCATGTCGCCTTTCCCTTTCGCTTTTRYAGCTTACATCTGTCACTCCTGACTCTCATCTTTCTCCACTCCACCCTGCCTGCCCTCTGGTTCACATCTCTTGTGCCTGTTGTTTTTGGGTTTTGACACCTAAACCCCTGCACTGGGTTGCATTGGTTGACGTGACTCTACAATATTGCGTGGACATCGGGGGGAGTTCCCCTGGATTGGCAGACCGGGGTAGTGGTCCCCCTATTTAAAAAGGGGAACCGCAGAGTGTGTTCCAACCATAGGGGGATCACACTTCTGAGCCTCCCTGGTAAGGTCTATTCTGGGGTTCTGGAGAGGAGGGTCCGTCGGATAGTCGAATCTCGGATTCAGGAAGAGCAGTGTGGTTTTCGTCCTGGTTGTGGAACAGTGGACCAGCTCTACACCCTCAGCAGCGTCCTGGAGGGTGCATGGGAGTTCGCCCAACCAGTCTATATGTGTTTTGTGGACTTGGAGAAGGCGTTCGACCGTGTCACTCGGGGACTCCTGTGGGGGGCACTCCGGGAGAATGGTGTACCAGGCCCATTGATACAGGCTGTTAGGTCCCTGTATGACCGGTGCCAGAGCTTGGTCCGCATTGTCGGCAGTAAGTTGGACTTGTTTCCGCCGGTGAGAGTTGGACTCTGCCAAGGTTGCCCTTTTGTCACCGATTCTGTTCATAACTTTTATGGACAGAATTTCTAGGAGCAGCCAAGGTGTTGAGGGGATAGGACCCAGCTCTGCTTTTTGCCGATGATGTGGTCCTATTGGCTTTCATCAGATCCTGATCTCCAGCTCTCACTGGAGCGGTTCACAGCTGAGTGTGAAGCGGCTGGGATGCGGATCAGTGCCTCTAAATCCGAGACCATGGTCTTGAGCCTGAAACCGGTAGGGTGCCTTATCCGGGTCGGGGAGGAGGTCCTGCCCCAAGTGGAGGAGTTTAAGYATCTCGGGGTCTTGTTCACGAATGAGGGAAGAATGGAGCGGGAGATCGACAGGCGGATTGGTGCGGTGAAGCAGGCGCTGTACCGGTCTGTCGTGGTGAGGCGGGAGCTGAGCCAGAAGGCAAAGCTCTCGGTTTACCGGTCGGTCTGTGTTCCTACCCTCATCTATGGTCACGAGGTTTGGGTAGTGACCGAAAGAACGAGATCACGATGCAAGCGGCTGAAAAGAGTTTCCTTCGCAGGGTGTCTGGGCTCTCCCTTAGAGATAGGGTGAGAAGTTCAGTCATCCGGGAGGGATTCAGAGTAGAGCCACTGCTCCTCCACGTCAAGAGGAGCCAGTTGAGGTGGCTCGGGCATCTGGTTAGGATGCATTCTGGACGCCTCCCTGGTTAGGTGTTCTGGGCACGTCTCACTGGGAGGAGGCCTAGAGGAAGAGTTAGGACACGCTGGAGGGACTATGTCTCTCGGCTGGCCTGGGAACGCCTTGGGATTCCCCTGGACGAGCTGGTCCAAGTGGCTGGGGAGAGGGAAGTCTGGGTCTCTGCTTAGGCTGCTGCCCCCACGACCCGATTCTGGATAAGCGGCAGAAAACGGACGGATGGACAGACCCCTGCACTTTCAACACCTCGACATCACCTTACAGATCCATTGTTCCATTTGTCTCCTCCTTGCTCACACTCATGTAGTTGGTCTTGCTGACTTTCCTTTTTCCTTATGCCCACCTCTCCGGACTCCCTTCCATCTGCTCCCTGCTCTCCCTACAGATGCCAAAGTCACCATACCTGACCTCATCTGTCAACCTTGTCCATCACCACTGCAACCAGAAATAAAAGTGACAACACTAATATTGGTTAAGCTCTAAAAATGATTCCTTCAATGTTATCGTGTGCATTATACTCCAACAAGCGACAATAACTTTAAACTTTTGTCTGTCACTTTAGAAGAGAGGAAATAGTGAGCCATCTCATTATTTGATCCAATCCTCTGTTCTGGCCTTCCAACCTCATTCTGGTTTGTGACATTCTTTGTTTTTGCCACAAGCTCACCACAGCCAACATCTGCCCTCAGCCCTCCCCCTCCTCATTAGCAGATTAAGCATGTATAAACCTGATCTATGCCCACAAACAGAGCATAAAAAGCTAAACAGCACAAATCCCCATCCAAAAAACAAAAAAGCTTCCACCACTGCTACCTCGTCTGTGTTTCTGCTCTGCCTCCAGCTAAAGATGTTTGGTTATCAAGTTGGTTACCTTTCCCACAGCCGACTTTAATGAACCTTTACAAATTTGCAATTGTATGCAAGTTTACTTGGCTAATTTTAGGATTTGTTCTGTGGCTTGGAGATGAAGGGGATGATCCTCCCTGCCTCCACCACGAGCATCAACAATAAACTGACTTCTGTTTGAAACTCCTAAAAGCTTCCTGTCAGTGGGTGCATTACATAAAGCCTGACAGGGCGGGAAATACACAGCAAGAAAACAAGCCAGTGTCGCTGTCAGCCTGTTTTTTGTGATTTATCTCAGTCTAAATTTAAAACAGAAAAAAAAAATCCAGCTGGTAGAGCTTAATGCAACACCAGCAACAAAAATATAAGGGACAGAAACAGCAACACAACTGAAGACGAAGCCAGCAGCTGCAGCTGTTTGGAGTGAAGCTTGCATTAAAAGTCATTAACAAACACACAATACAAACATGTCAAAGAAAAAGCAAGAGAGGACCTAAATTAAGATAAATAACATGAACTGTTGAACTTTAGCCAATAAACCAAACATGCTGCAGTAGAACA